AGTAGAAGAAGTAGTAGTATTAGTAGTAGTAGTAGTAGTAGTAGTAGTAGAAGTAGACGTAGTAGTAGTAGTAGTAGTAGTAGTAGTAGGGTGCTATGTCCCCTATTTTCGGAACTCCCCACATAGTAAGCGGTTGTAGAGTTCAAGGGTTTTGGGGTTTCGGGATTTGTTCGAAAATATACGGGGTTCTTCATCGTTTCCCCAAGAGGACTGAGGGTCAATGGGCCTGGTAAGTAGGATAAGTAAGCGTGCAAACACCATACCAAGATGCCAGCGACTTTAGAGTGGTTCAGGCAAGCATAACCCTGTTGTATAAACTACATGCGACATGCTAAGCTTCCTCTATCGTCTTTCCGGATCCTTTGATCCTAAACCCTATACCCCTAAACCCTAAACCTCTAACCCGAAAACCTAAACCCGAAACCCTGAACCCCAAACCCGAAACCCTAAACCAAGTACTCTGACCAGAGAAGCACTTACCAGCCGGAGGGGTCGTAGCAAAGCCGGAAGTCGCCCTCCCCGCCCCCTCCTACTATCGGGGCCTGAATACTTAGAATAGGGTTCCTTTGAAGGATGCCTTTAGGGGTTCTATAAGGGATACTACTAGGGTTTAGGGTTTAGGGTCTAGGGTTTAGGGGTTTATAAGGGTTTAGGGGCCTTAATAATTAGAATAGGGTTTGGAGGTCTACTATACTATGATTATAATCAGGAACCCCCAAAACCCTATTCTAATTACTAAGGCCCCTATATATATATATATATATATTACGCGATGAGGGCCCTAAGCCCTAAACTTAGAAGTCTAACAGCCGTACTGGAGGGGCCTAAATATAATAACCTATATTATTTTGGAGGGTTCCTTATTATGACAATAGAGCAAAATACCCCAAACCCTTATTCTAACTATTCATGGCCCCCCATATTTTGCAAAAGCTGGTTATGCGGGCAACTCTGAGGTGGCTAGGATAAGCGTCTGGTATGCAAGACCATATGGGGGTTTCCGATAATAGGGGACCCTAATGTAGTCCCCTCAACAGTAGGACCCTTATTATAACGACCCCCATAAGAAGGTACCCTAAACCCTAAACCCGAAACCCTACCCCCAAATTTTTGGAAACCTCCCATATCTTGCAGCCTGCACGAAGCTGAAGATGCCGTGGTGCTCCAGATACTCCTTGGCCTCAGGCTCCAACCAGGTACCCTAACCAGTAAACCCCCAAACCCCTAAACCCTTACACCCTAAACCTTTACACCCTAAACCCTAAACCCTAAAACCCTAAACCCTAAACCCTAAACCCTAAACCCTAAAACCTAAACCTCAAACCCTAAACCCTTACACCCTAAACCTTAAACCCAAACCTTAAACCCTAAAACCTAGACCCTAAAACCTAGACCCTAAAACCTAGACCCTAAAACCTAGACCCTAAAACCTAGACCCTAAAACCTAGACCCTAAAACCTAGACCCTAAAACCTAGACCCTAAAACCTAGTCCCTAAAACCTCGACCCTAAAACCTAGACCCTAAAACCTAAACCCTAAACCTGAACCCGCTGAATGGAACCAGGTCGGGGACTGTTTCTTCTTTCGATGGCTTAATCTACTTGGAGGTTCACGGGTAGTTATAAGTGGGGTTATAAGTAAGCTAACTATAATTATAACCCATATTAGGGGACTTATAACTCCACTTATAACTACCCAAGAACCTCCAAGTAGGGGCCTTACTAATTAGAATAAGGTTTTGGGGGTTCCTTTAGATGGTTCCTTTCCTAAAAGGAATACTATAAGGGTTTAGGGTTTAGGGGCCTTAATAATTAGAATAGGGTTTGGGGGTATATTATACTCTACTCATAAACAGGAGTCCCCCGAAATAGTATAGGTAATTAAGGCGGATGGATACAGTACTGTCTACTTTGGAATAAAATTCCGACATCCCCAGATAATCCTTCCCAGCCGCGCACACACAGTCAAAGCAACACTGCACCCCATTCTTTTCGCACCACTTATCTTCGTGTTTGCTTCGTTGCCGCCGGCATGCTTGCGTCCACCAAACTGAAAAGTGTTAGCCTGCATCCAGGCCAACCACGCTCAGGTGAATGTAGTTTGACTCTGGGCATGCGAGGCGCTGGTGCAATGCGTGATTCGTTCCGGACACCTGCTCAGTACCCGTTCTCCATCAGCATGTCGACCGTGTGGTCCACGGCGGACACGCACTCTGCATTGAGTTGATTCTGACCAGCAGCGCCTACGATGACGACTTGGTTGCCCGGCCGGATGTAGACGTAGGCCGAACCCAACTTGCCGACGATCCCTCCATTGTCTCGAACTTGGATAACAAAGTATTTGACGCCGGCGACTGTCACCCCCTCCCTGAAAGCTTTGCTACTGTCATGCAGGATGGAGATGATGTGCTGCGCTTCCGTGGGCTGCGGAATACTCGGGCCTGAGTACGCCCAGTAATTGCCATCATGCAGGCCCATCAGCGTGGCACTGTTCAGGCCCACGTCAATGAGGTGGTTGCTGTAAAGTTTCCACACGCTACGGTTTTCCTTGGTGATGTTGTCTAGGGCCCCTGCAGCTTCTCGGCCTTAGTGCTCAAAATAGGATGGCAATGCGATGTCACAACAACAGCGCTGTAACAACAGCCATCATCCTCATCATCATCATAGTCGCAATTATGAAGATGAATGATGGTAATAGTAGTAATAATAATAGGAGTGGTGGCAGCTGCCGCAGCAGTAGTAGTGGTGGTAGTAGTAGCAGTAGTCGTAGTAGTAGTAACAGTAGTACCAGTAGTAAGAGTAGTAAGAGTAGTAAGAGTAGTAAGAGCAGTAAGAGTAGTAGTAGTAGTAGTAGTAGTAGTAGTAGGAGTAGTAGCAGGAGGTAGTAGTAATAGTAATAGTAGTAGTAGTAGTAGTAGTAGTAGTAGTAGTAATAGTAGTAGTAGTAGTAGTAGTAAGAGCAGTAAGAGTAGTAAGAGTAGTAGTAGTAGTAGTAGTAGTCGTAGTAGTAGTAGTAGCAGTAGTAGCAGTAGTAGTAGTAGTAGTAGTAGTAGTGGTAGTAGTATGAGCAGTAAGAGTAGTAAGAGTAGTAAGCAGTAGCCGTAGCAGGAGCAGGAGCACTAGCACTACAGCTATAGCAGTAGGCAGCAGTAGCAATAGTAGTAGCAGCAGCACTACCGGTAGAAGCAATGTATGCGAATTGGCATTGTCACAACAACAACAACAACAGCAGCTGCAGAGTCTCACCAATGTCAGCTCTCAAATGTAGCACCAGCAAGAACCAGCGCAGCCGCGACAAACCCAACAGCAACAACAGCAACTCTGTGCAGAGACGCTGACAACATCAACCCAGCAACACTACCAACAACAACCACAACCGGGTTAATTGTAACCACAGCAACCCGCGAACACAAGCAACACGAGTGGAGAAAAGAACAGCTGCTGACTAACCCCAGTGTCGGCAACTGTTCCTGGTACGATCTAGCTACACGAACATCAAAATGTATCAAATGAACTCCAAAGCAGTCTTGGCAGAAGCCTGTGTCTAAGAACAACAGCCATGGGACGACTCATGATCCATACAGATTTTCTCTCTCTGTCTCTGCCATGCCATCCTCAAGGGTCTCGCAATGCAAGGGCATGTGGCAGCGTATGGCGGTACAAATCCAGATTAGTCACCTTCACCTTCGCAATTTTGACATCAATTCGAGCCTCAGCCATATTTTTTGAGAATGGAAACTCAAGTGTGCGAAGGTTTCGCAAACTGATTCTTGTTTGCAAGCCCAGTCACAATCTCGGAGGCGGTCCGAAGCACTGCTGCTGCCAAGTCCTGTATCGGATAGACAGGTACTGGATACGAGTCCAATAGTATTACAATCTACAAGACGAACGACAGACAGGATCAGACAGGAATGGTACGATAAACACCCTCTACTTCGAACTGCGCTGGGAACCCAGAAGCTCCTCCGGAAGCTGTCCAGCGGTGGACAAGAATGGAAGCAAGGAGTTGCCAAGCTCCTCCACTCGGGAAATGGCTCAGGTTGTCTACACTGATACAGGCTGTACAGCGTCCAGCGGCAGCTGGTATTTGTAACGCTTCAGTCCCCTAGCCAGTAGGACAAAGTACGGTCATCCGCACCCCGATTGATGCACAACCACATAGAGTGCTGAAAGGCTTTCTCTGGCTTGGCTAGCATGCATCGTGAATGTAGCTGCAACTTCTTGCAGGTTCCATAGAACAAATCCACATACGGTGAGAGGGATACACTAGGACAGACGTGGATGTTAGGGGAGCATGACGACATTGCGCAACATACATACATACATACATACATACATACATACATACGTACGTACGTACGTACGTACGTACGTACGTACATACATACATACATACATACACACACACATACATCCATGCCTGCCTGCCTGCATGCATGCATGAATGCATGCATGCTTACCTACTACTTACTGACAAACATAAAAGCATAGCCGAACGCATGGCTACTTTACATATACACATACATACATACATACATACATACATACATACATACATACATACATACACACATACATACACACATACATACACATATACATATACAT